GAAAGAGGGAGTTTCTACAAAAAAAAAAAAACCTTAGAGATGGCCAATTTAGAGCAAGCAAGCTTTGCCTGAAATTTGTTTCCATGTTTCCTGAATAAAATCAAGCCACAGGAATGGTGTATATTTTAGCTATGCAGACTAGATGGTCTAGAAACATTAGCTGCATGCAGAAGGACTATGCCTACTCTGTTTTACCAGGCAAGGATATGCAGTAATACAGAAAAAGTTGTTATAAATATCAGGGCTCTCTAAGTTATGAGATCACATACATGTAATACTTCGTTGCAGAAATTCTAGTTGTTCGAACTCGGCATATTAAATGCTCGTTATAATTTTAAACAGTTTTGTGTGTTATCTGTGTGAACTTTGTAGTCAATGTAAGCCTTATCAAATCTAATTCAGAATAAATGAGCCCTTGGGATGTGTTTTGAACTCATTGTTCACATTCCCTTATGTAAGACAAAACTGAAGCTACTTTATTTGAGCACCACTCGAGCCTGGAAAAAACTACCGGCCTTGCTGACTTAGAGACATTAATATGTATTTTTCTTGGGAATTCCAAATTCCTAAATAATTACCACCTTTTCCTTCAATACACTTACTCAAGTAAGATAAGCAATATCCTCCTTCCAACTAGGGGTGAGGAGGTGAAGGGAACAGAGCAGATAATTCTTTCCTTTCCAAGGTCTGAATTGGGAAAACCTTTGATCAGGGCATTCCTTTTCAAACAGTTACTCTGTTTTGGCATTTTAACAAGTTGTAATTCACTCAATATGCTCTGATCTTTTGCTTATTAGAAGGAAATCAGATCAAAGTTTCTTTCTCTTAACCTCCAGTTACTTATATTGCAACAAAGCTAATTTTAGGCAGGATGAAAACTAGCTTTGTGACTTATTGTCCCAGTCATTAATTGGCAATGGTATTATCAGCATAGAGTACATGTGGTCTCTTTACCAACCTAATTGATAGGTGAAATTCTGTAAGTGCCTAATGTCAGTGGTGGTGAGAACTCAAAAGATGGGGGTTGTTGCTTCATCACTCAGTTTATAAACTAATACAATTCCTCCCCAGTTGTCACCCTGTATTTTCTGAAAACTTAATCTTGTTTGAAAAATAATAATCTCAGTGCATGCTGAGTGGGAGCGACAGGCAAGGACTCCCAACTAAAAGGAAAATGATGTATGTAGTTAGGTGATCTTTGGCCAGACCTAAACTATAATATTACAGACACATCTGTTTTGTGGACATAAAGTCATATCTAAATAAGTCTACGTGAAGCATAGGATAAAATAGCTCATTTTTTTTCACAGACCATTTGCCCAGGCATAACACCAAAACAGAAGTGAGTTTAGGAGAAATTTTTCAGAACTGCCTCTTGATCAAGCTTTATGGCCTTGCATGTGAATTAATG